GAACAATATAGCTTATCCATTGTATTCCTTGAACTTAAACTCTAGAGAAACGGGCAGATATGCATTAGGAGACAGATAAAAATATATTTATTGCAGCATCGTTTTAAATATCTAAAAACTAGAAATAGGTTCGGCGCCTGTGGCTCAAGTGGCTAAGGTGCCAGCCACGTATACCCAAGGTGGCGGGTTCAAATCTGACCTGGGCCCACCAAACAACAGTGACGTCTGCAACTAAAAAATAGCCAGGCGTTGTGGCGGACGCCTGTGGTCCCAGCTACTTGGGAGGCGGAGGCAGGAGACTCGCTTGAGCCCAGGAGTGGGAGGTTGCTGTGAGCTGAGATGCCATGGCACTCTGCCCAGGGGGACAGCTTGAGGCTCCTGTCTCAAAAAAAAAATAAAAACTAGAAATAATCTCAATATCCTTTAATAGAAAAAATAGTTTAATAAATAATAGGGTAATACAGGGATACTGTACAGAAGTCAAAATGAATGAATTACAACTTAGCTATATCTCAAAAGAAATATAAATTTATGCCTTTGACTAGTCTTTTTTTTTCAGTTTTGGAGACATAGTCTCACTTTGTTGCCCTTGATAGAGTACTGTGGCATCATGGCTTACAGCAACCTCAAACTCTTAGGCTCAAGTGAGTCTTTTGCCTCAGCCTCGCAGTAGCTGAGACTACAGGCACCCACCACAGTGCCTGGCTATTTTTAGAGATGAGGTCTTCCTCTGGCTCAGGCTGGTCTAGAACTCCTGAGCTCAGGCAATCCACTTGCCTTGGCCTCCCACAGTGCTAGGATTACATGTGTGAGCCACCACTCCCAGCCTTCCTTTGGCTAGTCTTAAAAATACAAATTAAATAATATACATATAGATAGGGATAATAGAAAACCATATACTAGAAATATGTACACTGAATTTAATGATACTGGTTTCTCAGAGGAGAAGGGACATAGGAATGGGGAGAGGCACAAAAAGAATTGGTTATATCTCTTATGTTGTACTCACTTTTTAAATTTTTTAAGCAAATAGGACATTGTTATCAGTATTCTCACAATGCAAATGCTATTTTACTATTTTCTATAGGTTCCCCTTTTTTATTTTTATTATTTTTTTTTATAGTGGCTCTGTTTTAATTTCACAGTAACATACATGTACAGACCAATCCAAACAAGCGGGGAGAGCACTATTTTTATTATTATTTTATTTTATTTTTTTGAGACAGAATCTCAAGCTGTCACCCTGGGTAGAGTGCTGTGGCATCACTGCTCACAGTAACCTCAAACTCTTGGGCCCAAGCAATCCCCTTGCCTCAGCTTCCCAAGCAGCTGGGATTATAGTTGCCTGCCACAACGCCTATCTATTTTTTGGTTATAGTTGTTGTTTGGTGGGCCTGGGCTGGATTTGAACCCTCCAGCTCTGGTGTATGTGGCTGGTGCCTTTTAGCTGCTTGAGCTACAGGCACTGAGCCGGTTCCCCCTTTTAAAATAAAACAGAAGAAGTACATATAAACATATTTTCTTTATTAAAACTGGGAAGGTGAGCACCTAAATAACTTGAGTCAATTTACAATCTCCCAGACTTTCTTCACATGCCATTATCAAGTACTTATTAAGTATCTGCAGTCAACTAAGCAGTGTGAAATACTGATGGTACTATAATAAGAAATTACTTTTTACCATGAATTCTTTTCTTTTTTTTTTTTTTTTTGAGATGGAGTCACCTTTAGGAGAGTGCTGTGGTGTCACAGCTCACAGCAACCTCAAACTCTTGGGCTTAAGCAATTCTCTTGCCCCTGCCTCCCACATAGCTGGGACTATAGGCACCCGCCACAATGCCTGTCTATTTTTTTTGTTGCAGTTGTCATTGTCCTTTAGCAGACACTGGCTGGTTTTGAACCTGCCAGCTCAGTGTACGTGGCTGGCGCCATAACCACTGTTTAGGGAGCCGAGCCTATTTTCTTTTCTTTTCTTTTTGTTTTTTGAGACAGAGCCTCACTTTGTTACCCTTGGTAGAGTGCCATGGTGTCATAGCTCACAGCAACCTTAAACTCTTGGGCTCAAGCGATTCACTTGCCACAGCCTCTGAAGTAGCTGGGACTGTACCGGCAACCACAACACCCAGCTATTTTTTAGAGACAGGGTCTTGCTCTTGGCTCAGGCTGGTACCAAACTCATGAGCTTGGGCAATATACCCACCTTGTCCTCCCAAACTGCTAGGATTACAGGTGTGAGCCCCTATGCCTGGCCCCATGAAAAATAGTTCTAATCAGTGATTTCTACCTTCCTTTGTAACTGTCTATAACCATAGTAGACATTTATGTGGCTTGGGGATTCTGAAGACTACGAATTAATTTAAAAACAATGAAATTTGAGAATAATGATCACTTTACAGAAGTATCTTATACATGTTTTGATTATGCCAAATTTTTTAGATCCTTTTTAATGTTAACTTGGATCAAGAATTAATGTTTTTGGCTCGGCGCCTGTGGCTCAA